TATGAGCCAATGATTCAGTGTTCCTTAGGGATCCATATGTAAGAATACACTTTTGTATCAGGAAGATCACTTGAGAGCGTCCGTGCCTAGCTGGCTCTCTGCCTGGCGCCCCAGGGGCAGGACAGCCAAGTGCCTGGCTTGAGCTACAGGGCCTGGGCTGCTCTTGCAAAACACAGTTGTCCAACAGATGTAGACAGAGCCCTCCACTGCCCTGGTCACCACTCTCCCCAAAGAGACGCCTAGCTCTGATGGTCTATCACCAACTGTGCTTTCTGAATGTGGCCATTATGCTTTTAAATGCCTTGCTTTATGGCTTCATGCTCTGGTGACACAGCACAGTGGCGTGCTACCTGCTGGCTCACAGATCTGAAGGCGTCTGTAAAGACTGCTCATTCTCAAGTAAAAAAGCTCCACAAGCACCAGAGAAAGGAAAGGCACAGAGCCCAGGCCAGCATCGCACAACTTCCTCCGAAGTGAAGACAGAGTCATTTAAGGAACGTTTGGGAAGGTGCTCACCTCTATGCAGAAAAACCAGCATGCCAGTCATGAAACGCTCACACATGGACACTCCAGACTACTTGGAGCTTGCCTGTGGCAAAGGACAAAAACACTGCAAGCATGCCCCACGTGGCACACAGACACGGTCACATGTGGGCATCGGCTCTCGGGCCCTCTGTGTTCTTGCTGTTACGGTTTTCAAGACTAAATAGACTTAAGGGTGCTGGTGTTCAAGCTCCATGAAAGTTTCAGGCTCCTCCTTTTGTTTTCCTTCTACGACACTACTTCTTTCTCTCCAATTAATAATAAAAGGGAATCAAGCTAATGCGTATGATGGGGGGGTGGGCAGAAGGTTAATATTAGCTAAAAGCAATATGACTGATTCCCCTCCAAGAACAAAGAAAATAATCAGGCCGTATGATTAGAAACATAGTTTAATTCAAAGCATTTCATGCTTGAAGTTAACATCCACACCAGGCAAGAATGGAGAAGAGTGCCCAGAACCTCTCAGACACTGGAGTTCCACCGTCCCGTGGGAGGAAGGGCCCCTCCTCCTCCTCGCCCTGCTGCCCATCGGGAGGAACAGCAGAGACCCGACAGGTTATGGGGCCGGGTGCTGGGAGCAGCACTGGCATGTCTGCACCCTATTTATAGAGAGTCTTACTCGGCAGGCCTCTCGGAATCATTGCTGGCCTTCTCCTTCTTCCTCCACAAGGGGCCAGCCTACTAAACGCCACTGTCCCAGCGTTCAGCAGCAACAGGTTTGCAGAGGGAAGCACGCGCCTCCCAAGACCGCTGACCCAGGGCTTGGTCCCTCTCTGCCCCCCAGCTAACAGACACTCGTCACACCGACCAACAACCTCTGCTAGTTCCGGGTCACACTAAGGTTTAGGTGGACAAAGACTAAAATATCTGAGCCAACATCTACAAATCTGTGCGCCCCCTGCGGGGCACACTGTCCCTGGAAGCTCGGTTCCGTGTCTGCAGAGACTGCCGTCTCCGTGAGGTGCACACACACGGGCTGGAGAAGCCCGCGGGGCCCCTCGAGGCACCCAGTTACCTAGCAAGTGAGCGGTCAGAGGCTCTGCTCCGTGGGCAGCAGCTTCAGGCCCTTCTGCAGGGTCTCCAGAGAACACGCTCACAGAGCCTGCAGCCCACCACGCCGACAGCAGCCCGTCTCCGGGTGGTGTGTGGTGTGATTTTCATGCCTGGAGACTCCCCAGCGGACATGGAAGTGCATTAAGGACTGACCCTGATGAATTATTCGCATGGCTGAATTCATCTATCCGTCATGCAGTAGCTGCCGTCCACAATATTAACGACTCCACATGGTTGATCACCGTGATACAGACTCTTTCCATCATCATTAGGAACGGGGAAGGCCCCAGCCTTGGGCGCCAAGCCAGGTCAGTAAAACTTTCCATGAGGAAAGATTTTGTTCTCTCCCAGAGCAGCCTGGGCTCAGGGACGAGGGGGAGCAAAGCAGGGGGCTCACGGCCCGGACTCGGGCAGACACGATCCTGGCCGCCTGGTCCACCTGCTTGTTGTTTTAATGACATGGAGACTTCTGGAAACCCGACTGCTCCTGGCGGGGGCTGAGAGGGCTGATTGTGGCGGAGGCTGCAGGGCGGTCGGGGAGACAGTGGCTAAAGCGCAGATGCACCAACGCCTGACCAGCAAGCTTGTCACTTGCAAAGCTCAAAGGAGGTGCTCCGTTCCAGCCAACAGTTACTCCGTCTGTGTGGGTCCCCCTCACATGAAGTCTGGGACCAAGCCCGTGCGATTCAGACGTGTTTAGAGTACCTTTCCAGCAAATGCCGTACGTGAGACTGTGCCCCGTGACACGTAAGCAACTGCGTGCATGCACCCGTGAACTGCCCACATGTGCACGTCCGTGAATGAAAGGACGGCCTATCACCACAAGAGCCGCGCTGTCACATAGTTCGGTTCTGTACACGGGCCACTCACAGAAATTGCACCACAGGAATCACTCATGTGGAGCTTTTATGGCCTCGTTTGAAAATCTACATTTAAAATAACATGAGGCCCAAAAAACGACTCTTTTAAAAACGTACCCTTGTGGTTCTGCCACGATTGAGAAGCGTCTAAATTGAGAGTTTAAGTCTTGTGACTGTTGTTGGACCAAAGAATAAATTGTAACTGGTTTATTTATGGGCCAAATACTTTTGAAACAAAACCGGGGAATAGACACAACTGAAAAAGAGATAAATCCTAAAAAAAAGCGGGGGTTCATTTTCAGGCAAGTTGTCTTACGCTTATGTTCTTCCTTAAGAGAAAGAGAAGTCTGGAAAGTGGACCCATCCGCGTTGGCAGGGGTCCCTCGGCAGAGCAGGCTGCATGCCAGGGGCCGCTCCCACGTGAACCAGGCTGGTCACAACCACTCACGTGCCCCAAGTGCCCTGGCTCTCTGCCACGGCAGAGAACACCCTATCCTTGCCTTTTTCATTCTGTGTTCCTGGAAAACAAAAAACCCAAATAAAACTCCCAGTGTGGAACCCCAAACTGCCACCATGACTTCTGAACAGTGGTTTGGATGGAGCCGGTGAGCAAACGCCCGACAGAAATACGTAAAGGTCATAGTGTCACTCTGGCTGTGGCTTCCGTCACACGCACGGACTCCAGAAATGCCGCTGCTTTGGAGGGCAAGGCCAGGTGGAGCGCATCTGGGCTCCCTGCCACCTAACTGTTCACCATGGGGGCCGGCCCTCGCCGACTGGGCCCTGCGTCCCTCCCCGTGGCTGCTGGAGAGCCGTGTGTGAATCCCGAGTGCAGCCCCAGCCCCAACCCCTGGGAACCCACGGAGCCCGCATGCCTCTGGGAGAAGGCCTCACGGCCACCAGGCCGTCACGGGGCCCGAGGTCCCGCTGTCCGATTGCTGGTCTTTCCAGGAAGTGGGCCCCTGCCCCCGACCCAAAGCCGCCCCGGCCTCCTGCCTCTGCTGGTCGAGCGGCGTGCGGAAAACTTTCACGTTGAGGCCACTTCAAATCCACGGCGTCTCATTTTCTAACTTAGTTTCACGCTACCGTTTCCATTTCTGCAAATTCAGATCTGAGCCACTGACGGAAGAGCCGGCCCTGGGCCACCTGCCGCCACTGTAGCCCGCTGCCGGATCCACAGCACCACCTCACACACCAGAGACGCCCCTCGGAGCAGCTCACTGACCACAGGTCCGCGGTGTGGGCGAGGAGGGTTAAAGAGGCTGAGACATCCAACAGCAGCAGGAGCTATGACTCCCCAGCAGGGGCAGTGCGCCCCGCTCCAGAGAGGCTCCTGCGGGCTGAGCCGGCGGGTGGCAGGGGGCGAGGGCTCAGATACCCAACGCCGCCCCCGGCAGAGGCCCTCCGCCCCGCCCCCGGTCCACTCTGGTGGAGGCGGCCCCCTCCCCCACCCAGGCGGTTTGCAGGTATTCTCCGGAAACTTCCTCTGCTCCAGAATGAGCAGAGGCTCTGACGCTGCCCTGGTTTGGCAAGTTCATTTTCAAAAACCCCGATCATGTGGACCATTAAAATGGGGGGCTGGCAAAGGATCAGATCACTGGTGCCAAGTCAAGTCTTGCAGGCTTTCCAAGAGCATCCCAAGGTAAGGCCCACACCACCCATAACACCTGCGAATCCCTCCCATCAGCCCCGTCAAGAGGGCACCAGTTTGAACCCACCCCCCAAACTCCCTCAGAATTCGGGTGGGGAGGCTGGGAGCTCAGGGTCAGACCTTTATCCTGAACTAAACAGTCTCCCGAGAACTAACTTGGCGCAGACCACATCTGCATCACTGCTCTCGTCAGACGGTGCCTCCTCGGTCCCAGGGCGCCAAGGTCAGCTGATAGAGTCACCCAGCCTCTCACGAGGACATGGTGCCTTTGTCTTTGTTCCCACAGCAAGAAACAGCCAGGCCCGGTCTGCGTCCTAACTGCCTGTGGACTCGGGGCTCCAGCCGCGCAGACAGATCAATGAACGTTCTGTCCGCTTTCCTGACGGTGGACAGATGCCCAGCACAGATCACACGTGTGTGTTCTGGCTGCTGGGGAGAAGGCCCAGCACCCCTCACTTTCCGTGGTCACCTTCCAGGCACAGCCATGCAGCCTCTGGGCCTGGGGGCCGTACTGCAGGGTAGCCTGAGCCGGCGGGAGGCTGGGGGCTCCCCACTGGCTCCCCTCAGCCTCAGGAAAGGCCGCTCCCGGGGGCTGCTGGCCATCCCCACCCACACAAGCTCTGGAGAACCCACGGAGGGGACACATTATGGCCTCTTCCGTAAGGGGTCCATGGCCAGCAGCTCGAGGCTTCCGCTGAGACCCGCTGAGCAGCACTGGAATAGCATGGGTGTGTTTGTGTGCAGGACAACGTGTGCACGTTCACATAAACGCACCATCCGCTTCCTACCGAGCCTTCTCCTGTACTTGCCTTAACCACGATCTGGGTTCTGACCAAAAAATAAAAATAACAAATAACAATAAGCATCTCTCATAAATGCTCTTATGAGCTAATACTGAAAATCTTTATTCACACCTGGCCTGGGATTATGGGGCCTTCTTGGAAACAAGGGCCCATAATTCCAGCCCCAAATCGAGGCGGAGAAAACCTCTTTGCACACAGGCTCCCTGCGCCTCAGAACCTCTGCCCAGGGCTCCCAGGACCACAGGCATGGCCGGGAAGCGCCGGCGGCCCCATGGCAGCTGGTCAGCTCAGGGGGCGCTGAGGCTCGGAGCAGGAGGTGAGACACTAGTGGTCTGGAGACAAGACCATGCTCCCAGGGAGACCGAGGCGGAATGTCTGGGGGGCACGGAGAAGGGAAGAGCTGTTGGAAAGTGGGCTCACGAAGTGGGTGCAGGCGTGGGACCCTCCAGCCAGGGTGCAGCATACAGTGAACGCGGGTGTTCACCACCTCTGCAGCAGGAGCACCAGGACGGGTGTTGGCAGGAGCCCCGGAGGGAGTCTGAGCCAGGAGCCAGCGGGGAGGTGGTGGCTCCTTGCAGAGAGCAGCCCCAGAGCCCTGCTCCTCGAGCCAGCACGGGGTGCTGCACCGCGAGGCTGACGGCCGCACCCCTGCAGACGAGAGTCCACGCTGCGGGGTGTGCAGCCAACGGCCCCACTGGACCGAAGGGTCTCACTTAGGTTTGCCCTCCTGACCAAATCCAGTGCCTGCACAGGGAAGCCCTGGTCTGGAGGGGCCTAGAGACTCACGGGGGCCCCGGCACCTTCTCGAGGGTGGATCCAGCAACTGTGGGCTCACCCGGGGCAGGACACCCCATCACACGTGCCACGTGCGCCTCTCCCACCCTCGCAAGGCTGCCTCTTACCACAACACACTCAGGGCAGCAAGACAGACCAGAAGGCCTGCCGGGCCGGTCACCCTAGCTCGCCTGAAAGCACCGCAGGCTTGGCTGGGACCAGGAGAGGAGCAGTGCACATGCTCCTCGGGCCCGCCCAGCTGCTCGTGGGGCCACCCCGCAACTCCCTGGGACAAAGCTGAGCTCGCAGAGGGGCCAGGCAGGGAGCACGGCCGCCGTGGGTCTAACCTCAGGGGACGGAATCCAAAACAGAAGCTGAAGCTGCTGAGGTCAGCTGTGGACCCCGAGTGTGGTACGGAAGCTGCTGAGTTCTGGGGTGTCCCTGAATGCCTGTCAGGGGCGGGAGGGAACCCACAACAGGCTCCAAGGACATCTCCAGGCTCAAGGGTTGACCAACTATGGAACAAAAATATCTGAGAGCTTGCAGCCCTCAGTTAGGGATGGAGAAGCCTGGGACCGGCCCCGTTTTTACCCCCACGGACGGCAGTGTGAGAAACCCTGAGCACGGGAGCCCTTGTCCTGCCTGGGCCACTGAGCCGAGGGCGATCGCTGGCGGCCAGACGCTGTGGCCGGGAAGGCTTCCGTGTCTCCTGGCCACCCTGACTCTCAGCTTGTGGGGGGAAGGGCCCGTAGGTGCCACCCCTCTGAAACAGCCACTTCAGGAGCAAACACTCTTCCGAAAACACTCCTCCCAACACCAGGGCCCCAGGGTAGCCCGCAGAACTCAAAACAGTGGAAATGCGACGTTTACGGAGACAGCTGTAGCGGGAGACATGAGCCTTCAATGCAAGGCCCCGACCCCAGAGGAGGGTGTTTCAGGGAGGCTGGGGGCCCTGTGTCCAGCACTGTCCTGGGCTCTCACCCCCATCTGAGTCCAGCAGCAGGGGAGATGGGCATCTAGCCCCGGAAAAGCTTACACCGAATACACGGGTAGCGCCAACAACGGGGGCCCCGGCACCTGCGTACACAATCCACGCGGGGCCCATGAACGTGCAGACTTGGACTGACCATCCTGGGCAGCTCATGGGGCCTCTGGTCACAGCGCTGATCCGCGAGTAGTCAGGTGACCAACATGCGAGAGGACCGCCCACCTCTACGCAGTTCAGGTGGCACCTCATCCCAAAGGCAGGTGCAACCCTGCGGAGTCAAAGTGCCAAAAACAATGGGGTGTCATCCACTGACATTTTATGGACTCGGACGCTTACACCACGTGGCCTGCCTGCAGGTGTGTGGAGAGCACTTCCTTCCGGACCATCCTGACCGTGCATGTTTGGCTGCATTTCTGCACCGAGCACGTCCGTGCGCTCAGGGGGTGAGGTCCCACACAGTGGGATTTAAGTCCCAGTTTGGGGCTGTCCTGTGGCTTACTCTTCCTCCCCGGGGCGCCTGACAGGGGTGTCACAGCGCTGCACGGAGGGAAATGTTAACCACCTTCAGCTAAGCCACTATTTACAAATCATTCACTCAACTGGCGAAGCTCTTACGACGCTTGGAAACAAGCAAGCCAGACCCGGAGCCACGTGCCAGGACGGCCTCCTCTAAGAGACCTTGTTGGCTCGTGTGAGGCGACGGTCCGTGCAGCTTTGGTCCCGTGGGTCTACAGCCCCAGGCTCCGTGGGACCTCCGGCCGAGGCGACGGAGCAGAGCCACACTGCCAAGGGTTGCCGGGCGCACCCCTCCGCCAGGTGGCTAATGCGCACACCCCTCGTCACACTTGCAGATACGGCGCCAGGCTGCGTGTGCACCTCAGGCCACGGGCACTTACCGTCGTCCAGATACAGCTGGTCCAGCTCCTGAGGCTCTCGCTTGACCGTTACGGGAATGGGGGCCAGACTATGATTACTGTCCTCATGCACCTCGGGCAGCAGCAGAGGCCGGGGGCCTGCGGACTCGCTCCTCGGAGCCTTCGGCAGTCGGTGCTGCTGGTGGCCCATCTCGGATGGGTGGGTGGGGCTGCAGGACTGCAAACAGGTCGGCTCTTGGGTACCGGACGGCGGTGAGGAGGAGGGGCTGTTGGGACAGACAGCTGGCTGGTGGCCCGGGGGACAGCTGCGGCTCAGCTGTGGACTCACCTGTGGTCGCAGCAGGGCAGGAGGCGGCTGCTGGGGGGGGGCCGGGGTGCACGCCCACGGGTCTCGGTGTCTCCGGAACGGCGAGGAGCCCTCCGGCCGGCCGCTGAAGTCCGAGGTGACCGTGGCCCGGGCTGGCCATGCCCTTGCTGTAGGTGGCGGAAGAGAGGTCGTGGAGCTTCGGGCTGGTGCTGGGGGGCGGTGACACCATGGTGCTCCTCTGTGGACAGGGCGGGAAGCCGGCCACCAGGCAGGAGCCCGGGTCAGGCGGCATCACCAGCTGCTGGCTGTAGCACGGCTTGGGGAGAGGGCTCGGGCCCTGGCTCATTGGTCCACAGGTCAGAGCAGGCTCGTAATCATCGGTGGGCTCTGTTTTTATGGTAGGAGCTGCAAGAAGCAAAGAGGTTGAATAAACACAGGCTACAGATTGGGCGTGTTGGACGGGGCGGGCTGTGGCCAGGGCACCCTTGGAAAACAAACAGCGTCCTGACTGAGTCCCCGTGTATCTCCGCCTGGTTCTCCCACCCAATTAATAGGAGGGCGTGAGTCACCGTCTCCAGGAAGCTGCAGCTGGTTCTAATACTGAGAACACTGTTTTCCTTGGAATCCCCCCCAGCACTAATGTGCTATAAAAATCCATTTGCAAACTGCAGTAGAAGCTTTGGACCCAAGGGCCCATGGATTTGTAGGAATCAAAGCAAAAATTTTAACTTGGATGTACAATTGTGTTCCTCCTGCTACTGACACCCTATCTGATAAACGTCTGCACATTTGGGATCTCGAGCACACACCAAGATGGCACGGAGATGTCCACAAAACCCAAGAGAAACAGTACATGGCGATCACGGCGGGGGGAGCCCGGACGTGGGGGGAAAACACGCCCACCCGGGCCCCGCGCTGCGTCTGCTCCTCACAGAGGAGCGCTTGTAACAACAGGCCGCCCCAGCCATGCAGCCCCAGGCCTCCTCCAGTCCCGCCCTCCCCAGGAAGGGGGGCTGCAAGGCAGACGGCAGTAGAGGGCCCGTCTGACCCTCCACCAGTGGCCCCACTTCGAAGGGAACGTTGGTCAGACTACCGGTGGGTGTGCTGGTGGGTTTCTGCAGGACCCTCTGTCTCCCCGGGCGTCTCCTGCCCCTGCGCATCTCGGGGCCCCGTCTGCTCGCCCGTGGATGGAAGTCTGCCCCGAGTCACTGCTCCCAGCACAAGGGGCGCCACACCAGGCACCGCGCTGAAGGTCTCATGGGTAACGGCTGTCTCGAGACCTTCCCACCCTGCTGCTTCCTGTAGCGCAGACGGGTGCGTGGCAGCCTGGGGGCCTCCTACGTGGGGCCCCAGCCTTCACCTTAAGTAAAGCAAAACTTGTCTATGCCGGGACCTCTGCCGGCAGCTGTAAACAAGGACCAGGGGCGCTTCCTACACAGGAGGTCTGCGCAGCGCCAGTGTTCCCTCACGTCCAGCTCGAGGGCAGCGCCCGTGCTCCGTGACCAGCAGGCTCCTGGGTGTCTAATTCCCCTGGAATCGCCAAGTCCTAGCACCCAGCTCCTGGGGCTCTCCACAGGATCGTTCTCCTTTGCTCTGCCTTTTTGGGGGCAGGTGAGCCCCATGGGGAGCAGCAGAGCTGGTCTTCACGCCAGGCACCGCGGGCGTGGGCTGGTCTGCATCTGCCCCCACAGCGCCCGCTCATTGCCAGGAGGGGCACCCACACCACTCTCGCGCTCCTTCGCTGGGAAAGGGGTTTCTCTCTCTTTCCCGGGACTGGGGGTCAGGGCTCTGGTTGAGGGCAAGTCCCAGCAGAGGGCTGTCCAAAGAGAAATCCCTTTGGCTGCAGAAGGGACCTAAGAAGAGCTCACTGTTCCCTGGGTGGCGTTTTATCACCATGCGTCCATCATGCATGCTCTGGGTCAGCTGACTCAGGTCTCGGGGAGGACCCGGGGCCACCGAGGACCCATCTGTGTGTCCAAAACAGCTAGTCTCACTCCTTACGGAGGCCGCAGTGACCCCAGGCCCCAGCGGAGGGCATGCACCTGGCTCGGGGCAGCAGGGCATGAGGGACTAACCGAGACTCCCAGGCTGGGCCCCACCTGGGGGGCAGTGTGTCCCTGGGCTCTGGCGTCCACGTGCAGAAACGCTGTGGCTGTGTCAGGTGGCCTCCAGAAAGCCCCCATGCCCCCAGGGACTTTCTTCCAACTTCCAATCCACCCAGCAGTGACCAACGCAGACCCTAGAGCTGCCACAGCCCGCACATTTCTGCTGTCAAGCCCCCACCCCAGGCCGTGGCCTCCCGCTGGGCCGCCCTTCTCAGAGAGGCTCTGCCAGGTGGCGCAGCCTGATGCGTGCCCCGTAACCCAGGCCCCGTGCTCGTATCCACAGACAGGTGGGGCGCAGAGCTGGACCCTGGGGCTGCCAGCACTGAGGTGGGTGTCCCCATGTTGAGCTGAGCGCAGAGCTGGGACCTGCTCATCTTACGTGGAGAGAAGCAGCCGTGCAGCGGCCGGAGGTGATCCCCCTCCCCGGGGTGACCGTTCCCACCTGTTTCCAGCATGTTGAAAATCCAGAAACAGCAGAGGGGATGAAGTCAGCCCCTGAGAGGCAGACGGGCCTTCACCTCCTGACGGGGCCCCAAGGACCCCCGGCCCCCACGGATCCCCCCATTCACGAGACGCTAGGGTGAAGTGCGGGCGAACAGAACGGTGAAGGTTAACTTCTAAATTAGTTTGGTAATTTTCAGTTTGTGATTTTAGGGATATATATACGTCTGGAAGATTAAACTGAAACCCTTCTGGGATTCCGTCTTTGCTGCGCTGGATTTCCAGCCAGGCACGGGGGCCAACTCGTCTCTCTCATAAGGTGTCCCCTGAGCTCTTTAAAAACTCCTACCCGTCTGCGTGCACGCACAGCCAGGAAACGCCAGCGCGGGGGATTTACCTGCCGCGTAGCGATGGCGCGCCGAGCGAGTGGCCAGAACCAGCAGTCCCAGGCGGCGGGTCAGAGGCTGCCTGCCCTCGGTGGGCAGGAGCGAACAGGCGTCGGCCCCCTCGTACGCACCCTGTGGCGTCTGTCATTTACAACGTGTTTAAAGCTGCCCAGTGGCACCAGCATGAACTGCCACATCACGGGGCTCCCTGGGACCCTTTCTGGAAAAGTCCCCACAGCACAACCTCGCAGAGCCGACTCCATGAGGCCGGACCCCAGCCCGCCCAGCCCTCCGGGTGCCGCCGAGCTGGGCCTTCTCGGAGCAGATGTCCCCACGAGGTGGGCCAGACCTCTGCCTGCAGCCCTGGGACAGGTGCCCTCGGGGAATAAACGCGGGGGCCCTTAACTGACATAGTGACCACTCTGCAGCTCGGGGCCCCCCGGGGCGGCGGGTCGTGAGTCGCGGTGAAGACAGGCCCCGGTGACTCAGGGCCAGGTGCTGGGGTCACAGGACGAGCCAGCTGACTGCAGGCAAAGGGCAACACACAGGAACGTGGGGCCCGGGACACAGGCTCGCCTGGGAAACAGTGCCTGCTTCCCCCTTGGCCCCCACAGAAGCTCAAAGGCACGAACACGCGGCATCTAAATTGGATTTCTCGTGTGGACTTCAAAGAGAACGAGCAGCGTCTGTGTAAATCAGAACCAGCGAGAACATGCCTGTTTCCTATTAGCGAGGGAAGAAGGAGGCTGCGTCCTGCGCGGAGCTCGGGCGGCGCGGTGGGGCCTCGTCCACGGCCCAGAGCAGCTTCCTTCCAGACCTGGGGCTTGGTGTGACGCAATGTCTGGTTCCCTCCCGGCCGTCCACAGCGCTGGTCTGGGCGGGAGGGATGGTGACAGGAGCCCACGCCCCTGCGCCAGCCGCGAGTTTATAATCCAGATTTATTACAGCACGCAAACGTGTGAAAGATTAACGCTAATCTTGAAGGCGGCTGCCGTGTACAAAGCCTGTTCTCATGGAAAAGGTGGGGTGCCCTCCGTGTGGAGCTGGTGTTTGCCCTGAAGTGCTCATGCTTGGCACAGCGGCTGCGTTCTGTGGAGACAGCGTGTGTGGAGGAGGCCGAGGAGGTGTCCCCTCAGCTCCCAAAGTTACATGTCCCGTCCTCGGTCAAAGGGCAGCTGACCCAGGGAGGGGCCTTGTCCCTGAGCAGGGACCCCAGGCCCCCGGAGCTGGGCCGCGTGCAGATGAAGTGGCAGCAGAAGCCTGTCCCCAAAGGATCCCCACGCCACCCACAGCCCCTACAATGGCCGTCTGTGGGCCAGAGAGCATTCCAGAACACCCTGGCCTGGCTCATAGAAACCTCACGTCTGGCGCATGGGCTCCATCCCCCACGGCAGTGGCTTCCCGTTCCCGTGAGCAAAGCAGAGCCCCTCTTGGGAGCCCCAGCTGAGGTTGGGGGGCTCATGGCAGGGCCGGCTGCCTTTTTGAATCGCACTGACTTGGGTTCAGGGGCCTCGCAGTTCACAGATTTGGGCTGTGCGGCTGCGTCTCACACAGGTGATCAAGAAGTGTGTGCTTTGCTCTGCAGGGCTCCGGACCCAGGGTGGACACCCCACCCCACCCCATTTGCATGTCCCTTGCAACTGAGTGTGTGCAGCACCCACACCTGGCCGGGCTCAGTCTCCCCAGGACGGCCCGGCCTTCGGGTTAGCAGCTGCCTCTCACACAGGGACGCCATGCAGGTGGTGAACTGGCTATTTTCACAGGGGAGTGGGACGGAGCCAGCCAGAGGTCCCGGGCTGATGGCAACGCAGCCCCAAGCCTGTAGCGGGACCCAGGAGCAGGGCCTTGACCCCCAGGACCCCGCCTGGATGCAGATGGCTGTGGTGGCCAGGACCAACTCCCCCAGGTGGCCCAGAGCAAGGCGATGGGATCCCTGCCTGGGGGTGCTCACACCGTCCCAAGGCCTGTGGGCTGTTACAGATGCATGTGACCCCATCCCCACGCACACAGGGGGACACCGCCCCCTCTCACATGTGTCTGTCCCTCCTGTGTCTTCCCCATGTCCTGCCCGTCGTCAGACACATCCTGCTGAAGGGCCAAGTCGAGCAATTCAATTTGGACATGCTGTTTGGGCCAACCCTCCAGCTCAGCGGTGGCCCAAAGCCTGAGGGGAGTGAAGACAAACGTCCTTCCCGTTTCTAACGGAGACGTCTGGGGACTGGGCCCCACTGAGCACCAGCACCTCACTCATCCCACTGTCTTCTCCAGAAATCCACGACGGCACTCAACAAACACGGAATGCCAGACCGTTCTGCGAGGGCTGGACTTCAACATGTCTGTGATCCTGTGGCCCCAGCGCCTGACACGGAGCCCAGATCCCAATTAACACAGGAGTACGCGATTGTAAAGAATTCTCCAGTTCCAAGGCTGTGTGAGCAAAGAGCACACATCTCCATCTGTGTCTTTTCTTTCA